ATTCCTGTAGCATCGATATCCGCGGAGATATTCACGTTTAAATTTTGAATGTCCGTGAAAAATTCGGCATAAATTTTCCGTAAATTTTTGTAATTCTGCTGGAAGTTTATTGTGATGTAATGAAAATTTCCGGCAGAATTACGGAAAATTTACGCCGAATTTTTTACGGACGTTCAAAATTTAAACGTGAATATCTCCGCAGATATTGATGCTACAGGAATAATTTACATATTGTCTTGTAGCTAAGAACCAGGGCTTTCGATCTGTCATAGAAACACCTTAGTAGAAAATCGCTTCCTGTCTCGTAATTTGCGACCAAATTCAAAAAAATTGAATTTTTGGGCGTAAATTTCCGTGGGTCCCATTTGTGTTACGGAAATTTACGCCCCGAAAAATTTTCCTGATGCTATATTATAGATTAGCTAAAAATCAGAAAAAAATTGATTGTCCTATATTACAAATTAGCCAAAATCGAAATTTCTTTTTAGTATGACAATTCTTTTATATTTGACCTGTATATAATATATAAAGAATATCAAATTTAAATTTTTAATAATTTTTTTAAAACCAAATATATATTCATTATAGAGATTAGAGTATTTTAATATTATTTTTATTTTTAAACAAGTTATAAGTAATATATTTGTTTTCTGTTCCATAAATAGAACTGTATATTTCATGTTTATATATCAAATTATTTTTAAGTTAAATTTTGATATCTTATCTTATATACTATTTTTTTATTTCATTTGTTATTAAATTTAAGTTTCTAAATATAAATAGAAATTTATATATATAGTAAAAATAATAATAATCTTGAGTTTGTTTACATCCCATTTCACAGGACAGCACATTTCATACTTGTATATTAAATTATTTTTTAGATCAAATTTTAATATCAAAAAAATTAAATATAGAAAAAAGTATGTGTAATTCATAAACTCTGCATTATAAAAGAAAACAATAAAAAGTTAAAAAAAGTTCAAAAAGTAATAACTTATCTTTAACAGTAAAATTAAAAAGAATGATAAAATATCTTTAATCAAAAATCTGTTTATACTTTCTGTTGCTGAAGTAATAATAGAATTTTCTAAAATAGCTATTATATAACTTTTATTCTTCTTTCCATATTTATATTATACTGGGATTTTAAATTTCTTGAAATAATTAGACAAATCAAATTCATTTATATTGTTTATATCTATTATTTCATCTAACTTTTCAAGTATCACTAGTTAAATAAAAAAGAATTACTGTACTGAATGGTGATTTCTATACTATAGATCAGCTAAAAATCAATAAAAATCATGTGTCCTATTGCATCCTGTATTATAAATCAGCTAAAATCAAAAATTTTTTTCAGTATGGTATATCTTTTATATTTAACCGGTGTACACTTTGAATATAATTTCAAAATAATGAAATTCATTTAAGATTTTTTTCTTGAAATTGTTCAAAATTTTTGATATAGAATTTTGTACCATTTCTTTCTTATAATTATTATTATGAAATATTCTTTTCTGTAAAGTAAAAAAAAGAATAAATATATTATCTACAAATGAAAATATAAAAGATTTATAATTTTATTTACATTACTATATGCAATAAATCTTTTAATATGTCATCACTAATTTATATATAATTTGTTCATGCTTTTAACTTAGAAGTCACTTCTTAAAGCCTTTGAATTGTAGCTAGAAAAACCATTGGTAAAATAAAAATCATATATACTTTTTTAGCCAGTTCAAGTGAATACCAGACTCCTATTAACAAGATTGAATCTTGGTAATAAAGTGCAACTGTATAATAATGTAATAATATTTTTTATCAGGTATATAAAGACTAAATCTATGAGAAATTTTATTCTGAGATACTGAACAATCTGTTGTGCCAAGATTTTCTATACTAAAAATTTGCTAGTAGCAATATCAAATGCTTTTTGTAGCCTTGTCATGAATTTGATTTATCTATCTTCCTGAGAAACTTGTGAAAAAGTGAAACCAAGAATACCATCTTTTTGCTTTATAGGATAAATTCATCCAAGGTTTATAAATGTGCTCATCAAAATTCTTTATCTGCTTATTTATGTTTATAGGATTATCCTCTTCCTTGTTTTCCATTTTCTGGAGTACTCATTGATATTCTTTATTTGCTTGCCTTTCCTTTTTCTGAAGATAGTGTTTTCCATGGTAAGTGTGCAGAAAGAATGTGACTTGTGTGTGTGATTTTAATTTTTTATCTTTTTTTTTCAAAATATTGACAATGAGCTGTAGATCGTTTCTTTTAACAAATTTAATTTTTTTTATTTTTTTATTTTAGAAATAAAGTAAATTGGATACTTCTTAGAATTAAAGTTCTAATCACAAGAATCTTGATTAAAGTTTTAAAAATATTAAGGGGATATAGTCAGTTTTTATCCCTTAATGCTAAAAACAACGTAACCGACAATCCGTGGGATAGAATTAATGATTGGATTATGATGCGACACGCGTCGTGACAAGAATCACGGGAGTGATCAAATTTTACCGAGTAGAAGTATAAATGTCCTCCGCTATGCTCCGGACAATAAGTAAGATTAATGCGCCAATTAAGAGTTTTTCGTTTTTTTCTGGTCAAAAGTAAAGTTTGAAGCGGTGATGATGACGATTATTTCAATCAGATGACTTTAATATTTCAAAGGATCCAATTATTTCAATTCCTTCTTGTCTCGGTTATATGTAGTACATAATGCTATAGATATCTGGTTACAATGATTATCATTGATAATAATAAATAAAAAATTACTTAAACTAGTTATATTCTGTTTATAAATTATATTAGAGATAACAAAAAAATAATTTATTAAAAAAAGAGGATCTCGATGGAAGAATTAACAGAATCAATAGAAGCTCTGAATCCCACAACAACCGTAGCATCAATAATTCAATCAATACTTCAAACAGATACGACGGAAGAAGGTGTTAAAGTAAATTCAGACTTAAGGTGCTTTAAATATAATTTAATATAAATTTGAATGTTTATAATTTTTTTATAAATGTATATATACATTATAAATTATAATAATAAAATTATTTAATTTATATTCTTATTATTATTAAACATTATTTTTAATATTATATGAATGAAACATATATATATGATATTGATAGTTTTGATAATCTTAAAGAAGAAGAAACTCCAAATTCCGAGTCTCCTGATGGACGTGAGTCACAACATAGTACGATGGCACTTATTTTATTGGTGGCACTCTTTGGATTTCAATTCTTGATACTTTATTGGAAACAAAAACATTATCGTTCTTTTCAAGCGGTTACTTTGTTTGGATTATGGTAATTAGATTTAATTTAAATTTAACTTTTACTGAATTAATATAATTTTAATTTATCTTTTTTTTTTTTTTTTTTTTTTTTTTTTTTAAAAAAAAAAAAAAGGTTAATACCGATATTTATTTTTGGATTACAAGCTCATTTTTGGAGATTTTCTATTATTTGGACATGTTATTCTTTGGCTAATACATGGGGTAATTAATTGATTAAACAATTAAATATATTTAATGTTATCAATTAATTAATTAATTAGATATCTCATAAAATTTACACATACATAATATACATATATATATATTTATTTATTTATATTTATTTATTTTTATTTATTTATTTATTTATAGTGTTATATCAGGCATCAAGAAAACCTTTAGATCACAAAACTCCAAGGTAAATTATTATATTATTTATATAATTTAATTTAACTTTATTAATTATCATTTAATCTTTAATTAATTAATTATTTATTTAATTTAAATTAATCTTAATAAATTTTAAATAATTTTTTATAATTTTTTTCAGATTAGTTTATAAATGGTTTTCGATAGTTTATAAAGTATCATATGCAGTGGGAATAATAGGTTATTCCATTCTGATGCTCGTATTTTTTGGATTGGTTCAATTATTTTATCAAGGATCGGAAATTACTGAACTTGGAATTTTACTTTTATGTTATGGATTATATTTTGGGTAATTTATATTTTTATATATATATATTTTATATATAATATCAATCAATTATTTATTTTCTTACATATTATTCATTTCTCACTTTCACATTTTTACATATTTTATATATTAGAGTATTAAGTAGAGATTTTGTAGAAATATGTACAGATAGAATGACATCAACTTTAGGATATTATAACAAAGATGGATTTCCACGTAAACACCTTCGAGCAAATATATGTGCAATATGTGGAGTTGCGGCTACTGAATCAAATGAAGGAATTAATAGTATAGGTGGAGGTGGAATTAATAATAATAATAATAATAATAATAGTAGTAATAATAGTAATATAGATAGTATTGATAATATTGATCTCGGAGAAAAACATCATTATCATCATCATCATCATCATAATAATGGTAATAATAATACGGTTTATCAATTAGCTTGTAGACATGTATTTCATGAAGAATGTATACGTGGATGGTGTTTAATAGGGAAAAAGGATATTTGTCCTTATTGGTATGCATATTATTATTTATTTATATTATTAATTAATAATTATATTAATATTAATTATTTATATTATTAATTAATTATATTTTTTTTATTATTAATTTATATTATTATTTAATTGTTTATATTATTTATTTAGTAAGGAAAAAGTTGACTTGAAAGAATTCAAAACTAATCCGTAAGTATTTATTTATTCATTAATTATTATTAAATATATTATTGAAAATCCAAATTATTTAATTATTAAAAATAGGTGGGATACTCAGCAACAACTTTATCTCAGTTTATTAGATGGAGTACGTTATTTGGTAGTTTGGCAACCTGTAAGTTTTTATTATTAAGTTTAATCTTTATATTTTTATATTTTTTATATTTTTATATTTTTTATATTTTTTATATTAATAATAATAATAATTTTTTTTTTATAGATAATTTTCGGAACCGTACAAATTACTTATCACTTGATGGGTTTAAATTAATAATTAAATAGACATAATAATAGAAAAAAAAAAGGCGGAGTCAGAACAATTTTATGATATCTCTCTCCCCTTTTCTCCTTCACTCCCCTTTTCTCCTTCACTCCCTTTTTCTCCCTTATCTCTCTTTAAAAAAAAAAATTATTTTTATTTTATTTTGTATACATATAATCAAAAAATACAGTGTATATCTTTATATATTATGTATATATATATATAGGTATGTATATATATGTATATAAACATATGTATATAATATTACAACACATATTATTTAGTAGTAATAATAATAATGATGATAATAATAATAAATATTACCTTTCCCTCTAAATAATACACAATAGTAAAATGATAAAAAAAGAATATATCAAAAAAAAAAAAATATATATAAATATATATATCAAATCTAATTTATATATGTAGATGTGATTGTGTGTGCGTATATGTATGCGTGTTGTTGTGTGTGTGTGAGTAAGAAGTATGTGAGATATGTGTGCGTGTGTGTGTTGTGTGTGAAGATATAAAAAGAGGAAAATAAAGTTAGAATATATACTGTAATATATATAATCTATAATATATGTATATAAAGATAATGATACATTAACGGGAGATTCAGTAATTTGAGATATTTGAAATTGTCTTTAATAATAATAAAAAATAAAAATAAAAATAATCTAGTAAAAAGTATAAAAATAATTTGAAATGATCATCTGGCTCCTTCCGTGGTCAAGAATGCCGCACCTATAAATTAAAGATAATTAAATGATTAAAATAAAATATCATATATATATATATATATATATATATTTTAAAAAAAATAGAATGATAACAAACCTCCACCATATCCGTAACCCTAATTTTATTTGAAATTACGAATAAAAATTGATTTTTAAAAAAGATTGTTAATATAATATAATAGATATATATATATAAAAAGATATAAATATATAAATATAAATGAAATTAAGAAGATAATGAAGAATTACCTTTGGACCAAATTCTTTAGAATAACAAGGACAACAATAAATTTTACTATCACGATCCGTCATATTACCTGGATCCAATAATTTACTACAACTTACACAACGTAAACATAATCTATGATATTTCACTCCTGCACCCAAAATCTATTTACATATATATAACCATTATTAATAATTATTAATTATACATATAATTTATAACAATTATAACAATTATAACAATCATACGAGCAGAGAGATAAATAAAAACATACCGCTTCAGCTGCATAAACAGGTTTGGTACACCGTGGACATATATCATTATTAGCAGGAAGTGTCCAACCTCTTTTTGGTCCACCACCACCACTTCCTCCTATTCCCATCGCTCCACTTCCATTTATTAAACTTCCTCGAGGAGAAGAATAAGATCTAGTACTAAAGAATCCATATGAACTATTACCATTACTATTATTACTAATGGTAGAAGAAGAAGATGTATTACTACTAATAGTAGAAGTAGAATAAGTTGAAGAAGAAGAAAGGGAGGACGGTGATCTTGGAGGTGATTGTGTAAGTTTAGGGGCATCATTATTATTATTATTGTTATTGTTATTATTATTATTATTATTATTATTATTACTACTATTCTTAGAATTTAATTCATCCTTGGTTAACGACGATGATGATGATGGTGATGATGATAATGGTGGTATTGGTGATGTTGATCGTCTATTATTGTTTTTGTTTTTGAAATTCAAAGGTTTGGCGTTTTCTGTACTGAGAAAAGCTGTACCAGACGCAAATCCGTAACCTTTAATTTATTATGAATTAATAAATACATTAATTTAGTTATTTTAATCATTAAATTATTCATTAAATTTGTCTTTTACCTTTGGGACCAAAGCGACGTCCATGACACATTTTACAATAAGCCTATTTTATATAAGATGTTAATATATATTTTATATATAAAAGATGTAATGGATAATTATTACTACAAGAAAAGAAGAAAAGAAAATTACCTCTCCTTCATGTTCCGCAAGAGCAAAAGAATCCAATCGTTTCTTACATTCCTATTTTATTTATTTATTTATTATTATTATTATTATTATTATTATTATTATTATTATCATTTATATTATCATTATTATTATTAATAATTAAAATATATTAGAGAATTTACTTACGATACAAGTAAGACATGCTCGATGCCAAGGACCATTAGGTCCAATAACCTATGATAATAGTTAATAAAGATTATTAATAATTAAAATGTATTCTTTATATTTATATTACAGATTTATCTATTACTTAAGGAAGAAGAAAGAATAATAATAATAAAAGGGAAGTACAATATATAATAATAATAGAAATACTTTATAGAAATATAGAATATAGAAAATACTGTAAAGAAATATATATATATATATAGAGAGAGAGAATTAAATACATACTTGTTCTGCCATATAAACTGCTTTCTCACAGCGAGAACATAATGGAGCACCACCGTAACGTGAAGTCATCGTTTATGTGAATAAAGATATAATTTGGTTTAAAAAAAAGTAATTTATGTAAAGTCACTTTCTTTTCTGTAACTCAAATAAAGTGCTCCTGCTTGTTCGAGTTGAGTCGTCGAATTGTCGAGGAGTCGTCGAGTAGAGTAAAAAGTAATTCAACTTTGGTGTGTAGAAGTTAAAGTTGACTCGTCGAGTAAAAAAAAAAAACAATTCTACTGGTAAAAATATATTTTTACTAGTATAAATTTGAAAATAAAATATTATCCAATATATATATATATATATATATATATATATACTTGATGAAATAATGTGAAAAAAAATAAAATAAAATTTGAATTTTTGAATTTGGATAGAGTTTATTAATTTTTTACATTTATATATACGAAATTTTTTTTATTTATGGTGATCTAGGGATCAAACGTTTTTTTTTTATTTTCCATCTCCGTAAACATAAATAAAAAAAAAACCATCATCATTATTTAAACTTATCTGTCAGTTTATTTTAAACTATCAAACCAACTACATATTGGGTAAAATAGAATAAAGGTTAATTATTTATATATATTTATTATTATATTAATTATTATTTAGATGATGATAATGATGATGAAAATAAACGTGAACAGCGTAATTAATTGTTGTAATAACGTAATGGTAATAATTAAAAAACAATTAATAAATTACTAAATTTGTTCTTTTTAAATTAATGTTTTACAAAAAAAAAAGAGCAAATGTTCAGGGGAATATATTAAAATGTTATAAATATTGTAAATGTTGTAAATGTTTTTAAATGTTCCCACTGTTTATATTTTCCAATATTTTTCCAATATTTTCTAATGTTCCAATGTTTCCAATGTTTCTAATGTTTCCTAAAGAGTAAAATAAAATCAACACAAAAGAATTAAAGAAAAAAAAAAAGAACTCTTACTAAATTAATTAATATTAATTAATAATATATATTGTGATCAAAATTGAAAAGATTTGTTACAAATAATATATTATGTAATTTCTTCTCGATTTGTTCGTTCCATTGTCAACAATAATATAAAAATATTTTATTAAAAATTACAAAAAACTAAACCAAACGTTAGTCTCCCAGAATTTAAATTACCTTATTCCTTTATTTTATTACTTTATTTTATAATATTACTATATATATATTAATATAATTCCAAAAATTCGATAAGAATTTTTTTTTTTTTTTGTCAAGTTTTCGACTTACACCGCTGTGTACGTGTAGATTAAATTTAATTATATTAATTAAAATTATATTAAATTTTTAATTAGATTAACTATAGAGTGGATTAACTATCTATCATGTCACATGTCACCTGGGATGTGACTGCGCTTCAAAGGTTATACCGGTTTTCGCAGGTTGAAAGAAAATCCCGTGTTTGCGTCATTTTGTCAGCAAATCACGTGTAAACGTATATATAGTTATATAGTATACACGTGTAGTTAAAAAAAAATATGCAATAATAAGCATTTTAAAAAGTATTTTTTGAAAAACCCCCCCAATTCTCTAATAACAATAACAACGATAATAATAATGAACGGTCATAATCAACAAGATCAATCGAATCAACCGAATCAACCGAATCGACGTCCTAAACCAACAGGTCTTTATATATATATAAAAAGGAAACTTTGCTATAGTGGAATTCATTATTGATCGAATGTATAGCCATACATATAGACATATGTATATATAGCTATATGTAGTGTTGGAATTATCGAAATTCCACTACAAGCAAAAAAAAATTTCCATTATGCACGACACGAGTTTATATGATTTATATTTTAATTTTACAATTTTCACGTGTACCTTCATGTAATTTAGGCGAGGAAAGACGAATTCAAACGTATAGAGTGATCGATGCACAATTTGATCTCGAAATATTGATAAGGCATCAAGAGATACAAAGGATTAAAGATGAATTAAGAAAATCGGAATTGTATTTGGGAACTTTAAGATATTCGATCTTGGAACGCAAGTGTTTATAACATTAGTTAAATATTTGATCTAATATAAATAATAAATTAATAAATAAATAAATCAATATATATATATATATATATATATAGCTCCTCCAAGTCAATTAGAAACTGATAGTAATAATAATGAAACAATCCAACAACAACAACCACCGCCACCACGTTCTGCTTCTCTTCTGGGTGTTGCATCATCATCATCTTCGTCTTCCCCTTCCTCATTTTCTCCTGAAGTATCATCAAAATCCACAATGACAACTCGATCCCAATCAACATCTTCAACTTCTTCATCGAGGCGTCATTCTACACGTAAAATTTATTCCACTCGAGATAATGATTATTTTTATTTTGAACCTTGTAAAGAATTATATTCAAGAAGAAATGATGGAACTTTTGTGAGGTAAAAAGAAATATAAAATATCGATAATTTATTTATCTATACCATACTATATATATATATCCATATATCTATCATTCATATAACACTTTCCTTCTCTTTATATATATATATATATATATATATATAGACTATCTTGTCCAAAATGTAATCGTGTCAAATTTATCAATGTTCAAGGATTTCTTAATCATTGTCGTCTTTCACATAAAATTGAATTTCCCAATCACGAAGAAGCACTTCTTAATTGTGGTACTCCAGTGGTAAGAAATGTTTATAATTTGATTATATTTTAATTGTATATTATATGTATGCTTAATTAATTAATTAATTAATTGTTTGTTTGTAGGATGAAAGTGTGATTCCACCAGAACATCCCGCCAGATCACGAGCCATTACCAGACCTCCATCACTTCGATCAATATTAGGACAATCAAATTTTAAAGACAAACGAACAACGTATTGTATTATTTATTTATTTGTTATCTCATGATTATCACTTTTCTAAGATATTTATTATTATACTAATTATAATTAAAAATTTTCTCTCTTTCTCTTTATCTCCCTCCATCTCACTCACTCTCTTTATTATATTAAAATAATTTATGTTAAAAATAATTGATAAATAACAATTGATTAAATAATAATGATTAAAATATAATTAAAAAAAAAATAATTAATATGATTAAAATAATTAATATTATAGTGAAAATAACAGGGTAGGTAAAGGTGATAAAGATTATTGATGAAAAAGAAAAAAAAAATAGATTGATTTAGTTTTTTAAGTTTTTTACTTAGCTTTTAATCAAAAAAAAAAAAAAAGAATGAATTGAACCGGATTTGAACTATTTTGAACTTATCATATATATTTTTTCTTTTTCTTTATTTTTATATAAAAATTCTTGATGAAATGATGATGATAAAAAAAAATATTATTATTAAAAAATGATAATAATAATAATAATAATAATTAGCCCCAAATCAAAGTATTCGAAGAAGAAATTGATATTGGATTAGAAGAATCACCATCATTATCTACATCTACTATTACCGCAACTAATAATACCACGAATAATAATGTTTCGAATAATAACACCACGAATAATGAAATTACGAATAATAATAATGATGATGGTGATGATGGTAAACGACGACGACGACAACAACAACAGCAACAATCACCATTGCAACAACGATTAGAAAATAAATCAAATAAGAATAATAATAATAAAGAATCAATTTCATTTGAGAAAGATAACATGATGAATAATAATAATAATAAGAAATTTAATACCAGAAATATTAGAAACATCAACAAATCATCCGATAATAATAATAATAATAATAATAATAGTAATAGTAATAATAATTTGATGATACCAAATTCTTCGGAGAATGAAAGTGGATCAGTTGCGGATACGGGATATTCTTCTGATGATGATGATGAAACTGAAACTATTACAACGGATATAACACCCACACCAACTTATCAACCAGATAATCTCGATGATAACGATAATCGAATGAATGATAACGATGTCAATGATAACGATAACGATAACGGTAACAGTGACATGATGGATATTGATGAAATATTCAAGAAGGATAATAATAATAATGATAATAATAAATCAAAATCTGAATTATCCTCATTGAATAATAATAATAATAATAATGTTGTTACTACTACCAGTACATCAAATAATATCAACTCAACCGCCACAACAAATAATATCAACTCAATCGCCACAACAAGTAATATCAACTCAACCACCACAACAAATATTATCAATGCAACCACCACAACAAATAATATCAATACAACCAACAACAACAACAACAACTACAACAACAACAATAACAATAATATCAATAACAATAATAATATTATTAAGAATAATTCAAATGTTACAACAATATACGCAGCACATAATATACCATCAGCTTGTACAAGTGTATTTGATCCAATAGGTGATGGATCCAGATTTTATGTTAAACGACGGATAGTGGTGGGTAATGTGTCAAAATGGATTGCTCCAGAAAAGAGGGATCCCAAATTACAAAAGTATACACATAAATGGATGGTTTATGTTACCGGACCACCACATGATCTTGATATCACTTCATTCATTCAAAGAGTTCGATACTTTTTACATCCAAGTTATCGACCTCTGGATATTGTGGATGTGACGGAATCCCCTTTTCAATTGATTCGATACGGTTGGGGGGAATTCCCTATTAAAATACAATTGAATTTCGTGGATAAGAAAAATAAACCGGTTTATGTTATTCATGAACTTAAGGTAAATTATTATTATTATTTATCATATTATTATTATTATTATTATTATTTATCATATTATTATTATTATTATTATTTTATTTACATTTATTACATTTATTAAATTTACAGCTTGATGATACTCATAGTGGAAAACAAATATTAGGTAAAGAACGTGCATTTGATATAGAATTAGATAGAAATACACAATTCATATTTCCAGAAAATGGAAATAATCAATCGCGGCGTATTACCAAAAATAATTCTATACCTGATGTTGTTGTTGCTACTGCTTCTAAAGATCAAGTGGAAGGAGGAGGTGGAGTAGAAGATCAAGTTGAAGTAATAGAAATAAATGAAGATCAAGTTCAAGAAGAAGAAGAAGGATTTGAACCAAAAGAAAAAGATAGATTTGAATCAACCGAATTAAAATTATTAGAACCATTATTAAATGAAGCGGTTCAAAATTATCCATTAATTATTTCTATATCGGATCAATCATCTCGAACATCAACTTTACCTTATACCACTTCCACATCAATAAAAATGTTTTTAAATTGGGATCGAGAATTTCGAAAAAAAGTGGAATGGCAAAGAGCCAGATTAATAAGATTATTTGTTCAATCAATCTCCAGAACTTTATTAGATTCTAAAGTTAAAGAAGTTGCGGCTTTAATGACCACCAAACAAGTCATATTTTGGTGTAGAGATAATCGACATACACCTTTAGATGGTGATTATGATGATAATAATAATAATAATAATACTAATAATAATAATACTAATAATAATAATAGTTTATTATTATCATCCAATTCATCATCACCATCATTATCTATTAATAATTATAATAATTATAATTCATTTAATAATAATAAGAAGAATATCATTAATAATATTAATAATTACAATAATTATAAATATAATAATAAGAATGGTATCATTAACATTCTTAATAATATCTCATCATCATCATCATGGTGTAAATGTTGTGGTTGTCCTGAATCATGGCATGAAATGATTACAACTAAACATTCAAATAATAACAACAATAATAATATTTTATTACCACCTTATAAATGTAAGAGAAGACCTCACTTTTTAGAAACCAAAAAGACAAAATTATCTAGTTTGACTTTAGCACAAGATTTCTTGGATGAATTTAAAGGGGATAATGATGTAAATATGATTGATGAACAAAGTAGGCAAGATGATTCTATTATTATTATCATTATTATTATTATTTATTTTATTTTATTTATTTATTTTTTTTGATTATTTATTTTTATTTATTTTTATATTTATTTTTTATTATTTTTATATTCATTTTTTATCATTTTTATATTTATATAATAGGTGAAGAGAATATAAATATAAATATTGAAGATGTTGAAAATAATCATGATCATCATATCAAAAATACTCAAGAAGTTGAAGTTGAAGGAAGAGAAGGAGAAAGAGGAGAAAGAGGAAAAAGAGGAAAAAGAGGAGAGGAAGATTGGTATAAAATTAATAACAATAATAATAACAACAACAATAATAATGATGATGATGATAATAACAACAATAATAATAACAAAAATAATAATAACAACAATAATAATAACAACAATAATAATAACAATGATGATAATAATAACAGTGTTAATAGTAATAATAATGATAATAGTGGCAGTAATAATAATGATGATTTCATCGAACCACAAGGAATTGATTGGATATGGAATGTGATTGACCAATTAAAATTAAATGGAATGATAGCTACCAATTTATCATATGATAATAATGGTAAAATTATCATTAATGATAAAAATGGAGATAACAATAATAATTTATTCACTCATATCACTCATAGTAACAGTATTAATAGTAGTTATATTAATAATGGTAGTGGGAATAATAATAATAATAATAATAATGTTAGTAATAGTAATAGAGATAATATGATTAATAATATTATTAACATTGCTATTCAACAACGTTTGGAAACTGGAAATTTAATTTATAAGGTAATTTATTTACATGTTTATGTTACATGTTTTTATATTATATATTGATTACATATTAATTACATATCATATTATTGATATTATATATTGATATAATATATTGATATAATATATTCATTTATCGTATAGTTGGTAAAAATATTTCTAAAAGATTTAATAACCAAATCATTAAAAGTTTATAATGACGAAATATTCGATGAACCCGTTCCCGAAAGCAACACCACAATTATTAATCGTAATAATGTCAATGATAAGGATATGGATAGTAATAATAATAATAATAATAATAATAATAATAATAATAATAATAATAATAATAATAATAATAATAATAATATTTTACATAATAATTTACATCGATCAAACAAGTTACTTATTCCATATCACGTATATCAAGCGGTACTAACAAATTTGGATACATTTGATTTTCTGTGTGGTGAAGGATTGGCTTCTGATAAGAATTGTGATAAAAAATAATTTAAAAAGTGTAGTTTTTTTTTTCTATTTCAAATGTATATATATATACGTATGTGTGTGTATGTATGTATGTATGTATGTGTATGCGTATGTATGTATGTATGTATATTTATGTACTAACTTTCAATTTATTATTAATATGTTTAAATAAAATTCAATTATATATATTATCACACATGTTGAAGTTATAATTACGTTATTTTTTTATTTTTTTTTATTTTTAAAGAAAAAAAATTTACAAGAATGAATAACAAATAAAAAGGTTAAGATGATAAAATAATTTGATGATAGAAAAAAATAAGAGAGATATATATATCAAAGGTAAAGAAGGTATAGAAAGTACAGTAAATTTATAAAAAGAATGATTCACTTTGGTAGAATTTAGTAACCACCGTTAGTAAAAAAATGTTGTTGATTATTTTGTTTTTGATAATGATATTTTTGATTATCTTTTCCTTCCTCTTCCTCTTCTAAATTATTACTATTACTATCATTATCACTATTCCTATTATTATTATTATTATTGTTGTTGTTGTTGTTGTTGTTGTTGTTGTGATCAAAAATATTTGTTATAAATTTTGATATATCAATTCCAATAATATTATCAACAATATTATCATTCATCATGTTATTGCCATTAGATAAATTATTGGTATCATTCAATTTTTTAGCTATGAAACTAGTGGTCAATAATGCAATTGAAATCCAAAAGAATATTATGCAAGTTATGAAAAATATTAAAATTAAAGCTATGGATAAGATGAAACCTAATAAATAAATAATTATGTATGTTATAAATATAATAAATATATAAATAATAAATTTGTATATACAATAAATATATAATATTTTTGTTACCTGCTCCACCAATCAAGGATGCCCATATGAAGAATCCAGTAAAAACAGTAGTTCCCAAAGTTATAATAGTAGTCAAGAGGGAAAAGGATATAAAAGATAGTAAAGGAATTGCTGAAAATACAATAAATATTGATGTAAAAAGCTACATTTTTAAAATAAAATGGTTTAGTTGGTTAATTATAAATTATAATCTAACTGTTTAGTTTAAACTAGTTACAGTTAGTGAAAAAAAAAAATTGAAAAATTGAAAAATGTGGGGATTTATCCTACTTACCCCTATAAATGGATGTTCCATGATAAATGATCGATACTCCGAATAAGCTCTCTCAACACAAATTAACAATCTATATTTACGATTTATTTTATTTATTCATTTATATTTTGTATTTTATTTTGATTTATTTATTTTATTTAAAAAAAATATATATATTAAAATTCTTTCTTTCATTTCTTCCACATACTAATATTATTTCTTTCTTTATTTATTTGTTTTTTTTTTACCTTTCGCTTTTGATTTTTAAATCATTTGCCCAATTATTATATCTTATTCTACGTACTTGCATAGGTGAAGAGATTTCAGGACGACGAGAAATATTTTCACCTGAAGTCATAATATATTATTGATTTTTTTTTTTTGATTTTGGATTATTATTAAAAAAAAAAATCGGTGTGTGAAGTAAATAAATAACCATATCGAATATTTATCCTATTTATACTTTTTATCCCTAATTACTATTTAAATTATTTAAATTATTTAAATAAATTTTGATTGATTGATTGATTGATTGATTATAATTTTGTGTTTTTGTTTTTTTCCCATTAAAAATTAATCAATCAATCTCTTTAATTTATTTTAGTATCGCTTATTTATTATTATTAATTTTTATTATTATTATTATAATTATAATTGTAAACTTTATTTTCTACTAAAAAAAAAAAAAAAAACTTTATTTTATTACTTATTGTAAATTATATAAATAAATAAATGAAAATCTCCCTCCTTCCTTTAAAAAAAATTGGCGTGGCATGTCATTCAAACAAATATACGGTACAACGAAATTTTCTAGACCAAATTTTTCAGGGACAAAAAAATAAACTGTATGCTGTATAAAATTTTTTTTTTTTCGAATCGATGATCATCAAATGACTTATTCTAGTTTTGGAATTAATATAGTTTCAAAATAACCCAAAAGAGAAAATAATAATAATAAAATAAATATATATACCTGGTTCGTTTCAAATGAAATTTTTGGTCCTTGTTTCAAAAGATTAAAGATTTTTTTTAAAAAATGTTATTATATATTATACATATATACATAATGTAGTGTGGAATGGTCTGATCGGAATATATCGGAAATATAATTTATAAAGTTTCATTTAAATAATCTTATCAGTTACGGCCATACACAGTGAAAAGCACCGGAACCCGTCCGATCTCCGAAGTTAAGCCACTGATGGCCCAGTCAGTACTACGGTTGGGGACAACGTGGGAATACTGGGTGCTGTAACTTTTATCATTTTCATAAAAAATCAATTTTTTTTTTTATAAAATTTTATTTACGCATCAAAAATAATGAACATGCCTGTGTAAATTAATTTGATTAAATTGCCAGGCGTACATGCCTCTTAACAACACAAACAATACTGAAAATAATAATAATAAAATAAATATATATACCTGGTTCGTTTCAAATGAAATTTTTGTTCCTTGTTTCAAAAGATTAAAGATTTTTTTAAAAATGTTATTATATATTATACATATAATGTACTGTGGAATGGTCTAATCGGAATCTATCGGAAGTATAATTTATAAAGTTTCATTTAAATAATTTTATCAGTTACGGCCATACACAGTGAAAAGCACCGGAACCCGTCCGATCTCCGAAGTTAAGCCACTGATGGCCCAGTCAGTACTACGGTTGGGGACAACGTGGGAATACTGGGTGCTGTAACTTTTGTCATTTTCATAAAAAATCAATTTTTTTTTTATAAATTTTATTTACGCACAAAAATAATAAACATGCCTGTGTAAATTAATTTGATTAAATTGCCAGGCGTACATGCTGTTAACAATACTAAAACAATACTGAAAATATAGTTCGCAAGGAAATTGTAAAAATTAGTTTGACCAAGTTTCGAGTAGAATTAGTAGAATAACATAATTTTTGAATCTTGGATATCTTGGGGGTTTATGTATATTCAATTATTTATCGAAAAAAATGTAATAATAAGTCATCAGGAAAATTAATTAAGCTGGAATAATCACATGACCTACGGCCCAAAAAAAAAAATCTATTTTTAACTTCGGTCGCGATTTACGCGACAGATAATATGTGTTTCACTCGGATAGCATCGATATTCGCGGAGATTTTGCGTTCAAAGTTGAACGTCCGTGAAAAATTTGATCGTAATTCTGTTGGAAAATTTCTATTACGTAACAAAAATTTCCGGCAGAGTAACAACCCGATATATTAACCCTTGATCCCAACCAACCAACTCATTAACAACCCTATTTCTAAGTAGTACAGCAGGCGTAACAAACAGTGTACCAAAACAAATTTCCGTTTTTAAAACTTATATCCTCGTTCACTATCTAAAGAAATAAACATGCAAACTTTTTTTTTTAAAAAAATAAATCTCAAAAGTTCTCTTTTTTTAAAGAGTCAGATTACGATTTGGATCTGGACGAAAGGCATGCAAAATTTAAGGATTATGAATACGTTTTATGTGAAAAATGTAATCATGAAGTTTCCTATAGGTATATATGTTATAAATGTTATAAATCAGGAGATACTCGAAAAGAAAAAAATCGTATAATGTATGGAAAATATGCAATCTTTGAGAAGTCAGATTATGATTTGAACTTGGACGAAAGAAAAGAGAAATTCAAGAATTATAAACATGTTGTGTGTGGAAAATGTAATGAAGAATTTAAAAATCGAAATGAATACAAATGTATAGGATGTTATTACGGTTGGAAAACTAATAATACAGAAATTGAAATATTAAATCTTATTAATTATGGAAGATGCAAAGAATGTTTTCAACTAAATACATATGATAATTGGTGCCATACTTATAATTCAAAACGTTTTCAACAGGATTTTGACAAATGGACTAGTGGCAATAAAAATATTGACGCATTAATAAGAGAAACTCAACTATCAAATGACAAGAAATTTAGTTTCTTAGAATGGATCCATTTAATAAATTTGTTGATATGAAAAAAATTGGAGAAGGAGGTTTTGCCGAAGTGTATTCAGCTACATGGATAGATGGACGTATCGAAAGTTGGAACCAAGAGTGTAACAAATGGAAAAGATCGATTACATTTGAAGTTGCTTTAAAAGTATTCAATGAATTTAAAAACATTAGTGAAGATTTTATAAATGAGGTATGTGTAAAGAATCTTTTTAATAAAATTGCATTCTTTTTATATTAAAGAATTTCTTTCTTATTTATAGATAAAAACTTTTATAAGACTATTTAAAAGATAAGAATATTAATATAGTGACTTGTTATGGAATCACTCAAAAGCCCGATACTCAAAATTATGCATTGGTACTATCATTAGCAAATGGTGATTTGCAAGAATATCTTTATAAAAATTTGCTAGGATGGAATGCTAAATTCAACATCATTTGTAATATATGTTCTGGTCTTAATACTATTCATAAATTTCATAATTTAGTTCATAGAGACCTTCATTTAGGCAATGTTAAAATTTAATCGCAACATGGTATAAAACTGGTAAAGGTGTTGAAAAAGATGAGACTAAAACATTCACATTTTATAAACAAGCAGCAGAAAATGGATATATTGGTGCAAAATATAATCTTGCATTGTGTTATCAAAAAGGAGAGGGTGTTAAAAAAGATGAGATTGAAGCATTTAAACTTTGTAAGGAAGCAGTGGAACAAGAATTGACATTGGCAATATATCAACTTGGGTATTGTTATTAGATGGTATAGGAACAGAAGTTGATAATCAAAAAGCTTTTAATTTATTTAAAAAGGTGACAGAAAATGGAAATGAAAGTGCATAATTTAGTCTTGCATCACAGTAGCAGTCATAAGTATCTAACCCCTGTATAAATAAATACTAAGTTATAACAACTCCTCAAATTTTCCAGGTATAAAATGTATCACAACACCTGATCACCAGTACTTTCACAGGATTGTGCAATATTTTTGAATGTTCATCTGATGTTACACTGCAAAAATGAAACTTTTTCTTGAAAATGATATGAAATAATTTTTTTACATGAACATCCAGTAGGACCAAAGGGGGGTTTTGCAAAAATAGCATCCTATATTTACTGTTGTAAGACCACAGTTATTTGTTAGATCAAAAAATACTGTAAAAATAAAGATTTAAGTGATGAAGGAAGGTCAAGTTATTCGTGATGCATAACTGAGAAGCAAGATAAACAAATGACAAAGATGACAAAGGCAGAACACAATATAACAAAGCAATTAAATAAAAGAAAAAATGAATAAACATGATACTGAGGTTAGTGTAAAAACTATAAGACAGTACTTTCATGAAGTTGGAGACAAATATATTAATGAAATTTCAAAACCTTTACTTATGAAAAACCACTGGAAAAAATAGCTACAGTAGGTAAAGGAACATCAAGACTTTAACTGGAATCAAGTTATTTTTACAGACAAAAGTACCTTTCAACTATTTTCACAAAAAAAAAAGGTTTGACAGTTTGTTGGAAGGAAAAAAATATTTCGTACCATTTAAGTATTTACAAAAAGTTCATGTATAAAGTTTTTCGATTTTGGAATTTGGTAAATTGATATATTTTCAAAAAAACCTTAATGCTGATTTCATGTGCAAAGTATATGAAAAGGGATTTCTACCTTCTGTCTCTGAGTTTTTCAGTAAGAATAATTTAGACTGGTTTCTTCAAGAAGACAATAATCCCAAGTACTAGTTGAAAATTTGTACAAAATGGAAAGTAGAAAAGAAAATTAAGGCATTTTCCTGACCATCAATGTCACCAGATCAAAATCCTATAGAGAATGTTTAAAGGTTAATAAAGATAAACATAGCAAAAAAAAAAAAATTTGAATAGCTAAAAGTTTAAAG